GAGATACTTTATAAAGTGATATAGGATGTAAGTTACTGTGACTATCATTCTTCTTTAAAAAGGAATCATACTCATACCACATTTAAGTCACTCTCCTGCAAAAACTTTTGGCTGGAATTCTTGTTAAAAATGAAAGATCTACATAGAAGTAGAGAGTAAAATAGTGGTTACTAGAGACAGGGAAGAGGGGGCTGGGGGGATAGCCAAAGGTTGATGAATGGATACAAAGTACAGCTAGCTGGATAGGAGGAATAAGTTCGGGTATTCTATAGCACTATATAGGATGACTATAATGGACAATAATTTGTTGTATATTTCCAAATAGCTAGAAGATTAGATTTTGAATGTTCCCAACACAAAGAAATGATAAATGTTTGAGGTGATGATATGCTAATTATCCTAATTTGATCGTTATAAATCGTATACATATAAAAATATCACACTGTAACTCTTAAATATGCAGTTATGTCAATTAAAAATAATAAAAGGAAAAAATGAAAGATCTACTGGCCATGTAAGAGTCTGAAAAATTCTACCTGGGTATTACTGTTACTGGTTATATTAATCTTAAAAGTACTTTGGTTCATTAACCTATGCTGGCCTGAATGAAGGGTGCAGGAGTTTTAAACTTTAATTAAAAATAATATTTACAGAAAATACTATGATCACACGTACATAGAGGCACACATGAGCACACACACACATACTTAGTATTAGGGAATGCCATAATGTTGCCATGGGTAAAATACCTGTTTGTGTGTGCTGGGGAGAGGCATGCGTTGGGGATTTAGGAGGTGAACCTACATTATGATCCTTCACAGCTTGTTTAAGCATTTCAACGTTGCACTCAAATTCATGCAACAACTCGTTGGCCCATCCATTTTTTGTTTTCGTTGCATCACTAAAATACATCCAATGACTACAACTATCTCCTGTGAAATGAATAATAGGTATTTCACTGAAAAATGCACAATTTTCATTTATTCTACTACAACAATTCTTCCAATAAGATTCAGTCATTTTCTCCAGGGAGTCTTTAATGTCTGAAAAATTTACAACCTTCACCTACTACTTGCTGCTCTGAAATATGAGTAAAACATTTAGAATAGAGAAAAACAGTGTCAAAAGTAAATGATCTAGAAGGGTTTCCACCTAGAAGCCATTTTTTGGGGAAAATCACTCAGTTTCAGTTCAAAGCCTCATGACTGGTCACACTTCACTGGATGCCCAATTACTTGGAAAACCTCCACTGGACAGAATCCCAGAAAATATCATCAAAAAAT